CCAATTACTTTACCCGGGGATGAGGCGAAAGAGTAAAATTTGTAACGGAAGTTCGGCAGTAGTGCGGGCGAAGGCAATTCTGCGTTGACGTATCGCGGCGTCGAGTTTCGAAATGAAATATCCGGTTTCCGTACATTCGATCTTTCGTCGGACGTATATTTCAACTTTGTCTAACGACTGCGTTATTAGGTCGACGCTTCTTCGCTCATATCCTGCGGGCGTATAAGGGGGATACGCGATCGGCGAAATATTAAACCTTTCCGCGTCACGTCAGTTGCTATTTATACCATTATTGTTGATCGGGTACGGGAGAACTAATGAAACTTGGGTGTATATTGCACAGAATAGGAAGGAGTATCGCATCTCCCCCGGCTTTGATCACGCGACAGGGAAATATGATACGATCATGATTAAATTAAATAAAAGAGTTTCCATCCCGAAACTTTCCCTCATATAAAAGTCTTGCTACGCGTAGCTCACACGTGTGCATACGTAGAAAAGTTATAGCGCCAATTTCGGGTTGCCTGCCGTTTTTCCGATTAGTTCCAGCCCCGGTCTGAATTTATCAACTAAGTAATTCACATCAAATCCGCTGATTTTCTCTTATATTCTTTTTCCCTCTCTCCCTCTGCCTGAAATTCGCCGGCTACATTACGCGTCACGTTACGCCGCGCTTTTACGATAAGCGCGATTACGCTTTACGGCGGGTCGCAAAATCTATATTCCATACGCGGGCTTTACAAGCTTACGCCATTTTCTCGTAAAAATGGACAAGAAACGACTGCCATTGCCGTCATCAGGAAAGTTTTCCCTTTTCGTCCGCGTAATTTCGCCGCCGCTGACGGTTCGGCGAAACGTCGCGGCATCCGCATTAGCTTCCGTGTCGCGGTCCGGAGACCGAGAGCAAAACGAATCGGTTTCTCGTGTCGTTTCGACAAAAAAGAGGGGAAGAGGAAAAAAAGAGGACGAGAGAGAGACTGAGAGACCGAGAGATTAAGAGACTGATAGAACGAGAGACCGAGAGAGAGAGAGACTGAGACTGCGAGACTGAGAGAACGAGAGACGGAGAGAGAGAGACTGAGAGAGGGGAGAGAGAGAGAGAGAGAGAGAAGTCGATTTGGCGGACGTAATTAGCCGCTTCCGTCGTCCGGTCGGAGCGCGTAACTGGCGCGTCGAAAATTTCCCCGAGAAAATTACTGCGATCGCGGCGGCTGCTCCCGGCGGGTACGCCACGCCGTAAAATTTCACGGTATCGCACCGCGGAACAATATCCCGATATTCCCCGCTTTCGAAGCCGCGTCGCGGATACGACGCCCCGAGGGCTTTTTCTCGTGGTTACTTTTGTTCTACGACTAGGGGTACCCCGCCGATCCCCCCCCGACGTCTCCGTTACGCGCTCCCCCGATAGTCGAAAACGTCAACGCGCGCATGCATGTAATGCGCGCGATGCGCGCATAACGCGGACGTAACGCCGGGGCGAACGACGCAATCAATATATAACGAGGCAAACGCAACGTGGAAAATAGACGTGTAAATTATGCGCGCCGGAAAATTATATTCGCCGTTCTGCTAATGCGAGAGAGAGGTATAATTCCTCCGCGCGCATGTATCGGCGATATATAATAGATATAATAGATATCGTTATGTCGGACGCGCAGATTGCATAATAGATTGCGTTTTTCTTTTCCGAGAAAATTCCGTGCGACGTGATTAAGCGAGAAAATGTGAGGATCGAACGTAATCGGGCGGTATTTTGGCGCGATCGCGCTAGAAATCTTAGGGAAAAATTATAAAATTTCACACGGCACGTCGTATCGCGGACGGTATTCCCAATATTCTCCGTTCCGCAGCACATCGCTGATACGATACCGCGGGGGCTTCCGTTACTGTTATTCTCGGCTGCTGGCAGTCGTTTGAGTTCACTACCGTGAATAAACACAGGTCTTTTCAGCCGAGAATTTCGAGCCTTTACACTCTTAATACAAGCGCCTTACCGATAACGCCGGAACGTTACGTTCCTCGTTTTATGCGAATTTGTCCCACATAAAGGAAAACGTAGATCGCTTTGCGTAGATTACGTCACCTTGGAGGTTTTGCAAACGTTTTTAGTTAATTGGTGTTTACTTTCAAATCGCAACGTGCGTTACGAGATTGTCAATTTGCGAGATGGTGCAACGGTGGCAAGACACCGACTGGTAGAGGCCGCCGTACGCCAGCGACGGGATTTCTCCGGGTAAACACCCAAATTGTCTACAACGGGGACCAAGTAATATTCCTGACAGTACGATCTAAAATGTTAATTTGCCGAATAGTCGCGCGAAACGGACGAAGAATCTAATTCACGGTATAGCCGAGTGCAAATTAACGACGCCGTTCAGCGTTCTATTCGAGAATAGGATTAACGAAATACTTAATGCAATCGCGCTCAATCTTCATTTAGTCGCGCATTCACGAAAACGAAATTAAGTCTTATGCAAGAATAACGTCTATCATTGTCAGAGGGGATAATTAATTTCCCCGCTTTGACGCTTGAAATCACCGCTGTTCTCCAGATAACAAGAGGGGTCTCGACGGCGGAATTTCATGAATCTGTGTCTAAATAGAATTTCTCATTCGTACTTTCTCCCATGGCGGACCGGGCTTACCAATGTATGTAAACGCCCCAACTTGTAATTCGATAAGCTCGGATATTAATTTCTTGAACGCTTCAACTTCAACCGGTTAGCAGCGTTTCAAGAGTCAATGGACGCGAGTTTCCTCAAAAACTTGGCAAAAAGTAACAGAGGATGGAATATTGTATAAGTAGTTTATTTATTTTCCGTACATGACTCCATACGCCTGCGTCAATTTTTAACATTTTGATTAACGAAGAAAACGACGCTCTCCTAGAATATCACAGTTAGAGGAAAATTAAGCGTGTCGAAATGGAAATTTCTTTATGACAAACGTCGCGTTAGAAAAGTTGCTTAAGTAGAGAGCACTTTTCAAATGTATAGACCGGTAAATAATCAATTATTAGTTGCGCGAGAACGGCACTCCGGGATCGTTCGCTGTCGCGTCGCGAATTCCAAGTTCTTCGCAGCCGACATTTCGGCGCCGTGACGATGCAAGGATTACCCTCGAGGGGCCGACGAGCGCGCGCTTACCACGTGTATAAGAGTCGTCAAATTATTCTGGACGTGCTCGTCGCCACCTGACGGCGGGGAACTCTCTTTGGGATATATCGTGGTTTGTTTACCCGAAACTACTGTCCCAGGCCGCGCCGCCCGGAGATCCGTCTCTGTCACTTCGTATACAAAGGACTTGGAGAACGGCGTTGGCGAACGACGACGGGATAAGGGGAGTCCGGCGACGGAAGAGTGTCATATAACGACAGCTTATTTCGCACGGCGCGCTTCGGACGTCGATGACCAGGGTGACCGATAGATAGACGGCGAACGGGCAAAGCGGGGGGGGGGGGCGGGGGTGAAAGACCGAGCCTCGAGGTTCATCGAGCGATCGAATCGCCTACTTCCGCCAACTCGCCGGATCGCTGGCAGTTTATTTCCGCCCGACGTGGAATCGAGAGTCGATGGGCTCGAGGGGCGCGTTGTCCTAACGATGTGATTTATCGTCGTCTACGAGCCCTGACAGGTCCCCGTCATCGTCGGTACACAGACAGCGGGACGGCCACGTCGATTTCTAGCTTATCGCGCAGCCGGTGGCGATAAGCGGCTTACTGGAAGTCTGTCGAAGAGCAAACCGTTGGTCGGAGGCGTCGTTGAAGTAGCGCAAACAACGGAAGTCGCGCGGCTTAAGGACCAAGCTGCAGCGGCTGCGTCGCTCGGTGATCAGACGCGCGATCTATGTGCGCGTGTAATATAAAGTCGGAGATCGGACGCCTCCGAGCAAGATTATTAGACACAGATTGTCTCATCGATGACTTTTTAGGCGAAGGACGTATCGGCAAGAAGGGGGATCGACGTCACCGCGAATCCCAGCCGTAAACGTATAATATGTAGACTGCGCGTTTGGCTGAGGTAGTGTACAAACTTTAGAAAGAGACAACATACTTTGAGTGGTCGCCCTCTATTATTCCTCTTACTCTTCTGTTGCCCCCACTGTTTATTAGACAAATGAGGCGACCACTCGACTGTCGGCTGTCTCGTTCTAAAGTTTGTACATGTTCTCAGTACGGGAAAGGTTGGGAACGCGCAGTCTATTCTCGCTATGTCTATGATCCCAGCTGCTACCGCGTGGCGCCGAATGTAGCAAAGTAATCTATGGGTTTCTCTCTCTCTTTCGCGTGACGTCACGCGAAGAGTACTCTGGGGGAAAAAAAAGACAGCAACCCATTTTGGGGTCCACAATTAGTAATCGAATTATTTGGATTGTTCTACTCTGGGAAAAATTTTGACCATTTTTTTTGTAGTTCAACAACTTAACCGGTCAGTTCTTAAGTGAAAATTTTCTCTCTCTCTCTCTCTCTCTCTCTCTCTCTCTTTCTCTCTCGGAATTTTTGCTCGGTCCTTTCGCAACGTAAATCGCGAACTTTTGAAGAAGGGTTGCACTTTAGCACACGTCCGGCGATATTATCCGGCAATGCGATACTTTTCGCGCTGCGAGTCAATTTATCTATAATTGGACCGGGTTAATATTCTATGCGACTCGGCCGTTCGTATCACGTGCGAATATTACTGCGTGACGTTGTTAGTGAGTACCAATTTAGCCATCGGTCGGCGAACCAATTCACCAACCTGTCAAACTGTCAGCGTGGCGGGCACGCGAACGTCCAACGCGAGTGTCCGACGAATTCGTATACACCGAGCCAGCGCGCGCCCGCGACGTCGAGCGACGATGGACAATTTTTAGCCGCTTCGAAGGGACTCGTTAACTGAAATAAGTTCGAGTCGCGGAAAATGAAACGTCAGACCTGGTCCGGAGATAATTAATCTCCTCTTTAATACTTACTTCAACGCGCGACCAAATTGCGTTGATAAGCTAATGCTGGTCCAATTGCTAATGACGACCGGGATGTTCGGGGCGTGGGAGCGCGTAAATGAAAACAACAGCGGAGAATGTGCATATTAAACAACAAGATTTATTATCTATATATACAAACGTTTATATTTGACCATTTAATTAACCACGAAGCACGATAAAACATCCGTGTAGACAAAACATTTACGCTCCTGCAGACATTCGCGAGTAGTTTTACGGGAAGGCTTCCGACGAGAGACAGAGGTGACGGGAAGTCTTTTCTTATTCTTCTTTCAACGGCGGAAAATTATTGTCTCTGTACACGCGCATGATCGCGCCCTGGCGTTCCAAGTATCACGTTTCCCTTAGAACGAAGCTAACGAGACGCTATCTCTCTTACGGCTAGGTGAAAAACAAGAATAGGAATGTCGAATCGACGTGCCGGTCGGGAGGGTGAGGGTCCTTAACGGTATTTATTGTCTATTTACAAGCGTCGTTTAATCGCGTACGACGGTTTGGCGAGCATCGGAGGGTACTGACCCGGATAATCGGGCGCAAAGACGCTACCCCCGTCTATATACAACTCTCCTGTACACGCAGACTCCTCGTGTAGATATCGTGAGTGCGATGCACCGGCAGCGTGCTGGGCCGTAACGGGCTCAGGCTCTTGTCGGTCTTCTCCGCGTAGCCGTTCGGATAGATCCAGGAGTCCTTGGCGTGGAGCACCGACGAGGGCGACGGATAATCGAGGTCCTCGAGGCACCTGAAGTCCTTGGCTCTCTCGGACGGCTTGCTGGACGCGTAGCTCGGCTCGAAGATGTCCGGCCGTCTCTCGACGGTCTTGCTCGGTATCACGTCCGGGTCGTCGTCCGGCACGTCCGCGTTTATCTGCTCCTTCAAGTTGTCCCGGTGAGCCTCGTCCGTCGCCGGCGGCGCCGCCGCCCGGTCCTCCTTGCCCTCGTACTGCACCGGCTCCGCCGCCTGCGTCTTCGTCGTCTGCATCGGATGGTTTCGACGGTACAGGGTCAGCGTTATCCCGACGATCAGAATGCAAATGGCTGTTACACCGCCGGCGAAGAACGCCACCAGGAGGCTATAATCGGTCGTCTCGTCCGAGATCCCGCGACCTGCGGAGCGAACGTTAAGAGAATCGTCACTCACGTGAGAGAATCCGTATTGTGGTTTTTATTTTTTAGAAATTACAACTTTCATCGTAAAATATGTGTCGCTGGATTGTATATTAATAGCGTGACCCGTTTTTCCAAATGATAATCGAATAGCAGATAAATTTGCGAGACTATTAGGTTCCAAGCAAGATTTAAACGTAAAAGAATCGGCGTAATACGAAAGGAACTAGATCTCTGCCTCTCGATAAAATGTCGATATCTGTACGGGGAGAAAGAATTTTGCTGCCGTGGCAAAACCATCGCTGCTAGTGCGGCTGCTGGCTGCTGCTGCTGCACATTCGACGTGAGAGTGACCAATTTTACTAACCAATTATTTGATATTGCAGCAAAATCTGTGTTTCGTTGATAAAATAAAAAAGATCTTATTGCGTGCATGCGCGAGTAAATTTGTTCGCGGAAAACAAATTTACCGTTAAAGCAAATTTGATTTGCCACCAACACAAAATAGTCCGTTTCGAACGAACGCATTTCGCCGTTAATGTACATTCGATAGGTTTACGTTCTCTACATTTTACCAGAAGAAAGTCCCCTATTATGAGATAGGATCCTAATATGGGATAGCGAGTTTTCTGCTAAATAGGCGTCATCGGTTGGTTCCACCATGAATTTATTGTCCTTGGAGCGAAATCTGTTCAGCGGAAAATTCATTGTTAGGTCGTGTAATCGTTGCGAGAAAATTCTCTAAGTTGATTATCATCTTAAGACAGTGAACAGTTACTGATTTACAGTTATAAGTATACTGCTATTTTTAGTAGTATACTTATAACTGCAAAACAGTGACTATTCACTATTTTCAGATGATAATTCACTGATAGACTTTTACAGAGAAGATTTGTGTTGAAAACCTATCTCATAATAGATGACTTTCCTCCATTAATATGCGTCTCATAGTCTTACGCTCTCTACGTGCTCGGCATAATTAACGAACGCGAACATTAACACTCGCGATGATGCAAGAAGCATTTTATCGATCTTATCGCTGTTCACGCGTGTTAAAGTATGCACGGTTTATCGGTTTATCCGATGATGACGATACTCGCGAGATGAACACGGCGCGCGCATTATCGATCCGTACATACGAATGTCAAGTTAGTTTTGGACCATCGACAATGCGCGCACATCACAATTCGATAATTAAGCGGCAATCAGCCACATCGGATTAGTGCGCAACGACGGGAACGCGCGCGCGCGCGCTTGGGCGTTTTCTTTTTGGATTCCAGCAAATCGATTTCCATTAAACGGCAAATTTCGTATCGGCAATTTACGTCGCGGGAGACGTTTTATCCGCGCCCGCGCGCGGTGCATTACAGCTCTTTAACATTACATGAGACGAAAATCCATACGCGAAGGAAATCGTGGTGCAAATTTTAAAGGATAAAACTGGTAATAATTCCCGCGAGCTCTATTCTTAACGCCGCGAATGCGAGGAAGTAGACCGAATTAACTTGCGGAATCCGGAAAAATATCTTACATTAATTATCATACGTTTGCGCGATACCATTATAACCGCCTGCAACGTCGAATTCCGGATTTATCAAGGCGTTAGCGCGGGATATCGCGACATCTAATCCCGCTGGTTGCAGCACACTCGTCGCAGGATTAACGGCCGGCAGTTACGCGCAAAACGTGCGATTTCCTAACGTATATCCGTATATTCTCGACCCCGCAAAGAACATTCGTCCTCATCAGGATGGACATCCGAACTGATGGCGACATCAACAGCGGCGTCCGGCAGCGTCGTTCGTTCCAACGTGTCCGGTAAACGAGATCCGCTTTTTCCGTGTACTTATTGGATCACGGAGGAAACGCAGGCAGCTTTCGGTAGCAAAGATTAAGAGGAAGGCGGTGGATCGGGTCCGCGGACCGAGATGGCCAGGCTCTTTAGAATTCAGAAAACGCCTCGGTTCGTTAGCCAACGAACGCTCTCCTCACGTGTGTGTATGTACGTGTGTATATATATATATATATATGTTGTATAGGCACACATGCATATACACTGTGACACGAGCGTACACGATCGAGAACGGGAGGCGGACACGCGATTGTCTGAGTCCGTCATCCCGGGATCTCGAAAGCTCCTTTCCCACCCCGTGCGCGTTTCTCCATTGCTACACGTTAAGAGGGGGTATTTGCCACCCCTGCGGGAATAGGTAGAAGCTACTTGAACGGAGCCCGGCGCGCACTGTCTGAGGGAACGTTTGAGGGGCTTCGAGCGCTTCCCGATACGCGACGGTGGTGGTGATACGCAGCCGGGATTCGGGATGAGCTTCGCCGGTCGCGGGATGTGCGCGTGCACACGCGTGCGTGCATGTGTGTACGCGCAGACTGGGACGACGGTATATACGGTTGCCACACACCCGCGTTACCACACGGCGGAACCGCGTGCGAGAGCCGGCATGAATAACCCATGAGGATGGAAATTAAAGACGATAAATGCAGCTGAAATGAGGTAGCGGCGAGGAAAGAGACTTGGGCTTTATGGGATTTTAATTCAAGGCCCGCGCGGGACAGCCGCGGTGATACGCGGGCTGGCGGCGCGGCGCCGGTGACCGCGTTTTCTCAAAAGCGCCACCGAAATTCCTGTAATTACATCGGCAAGTTTTGACGGAAGTCGTTGATTAGTAATGTCAGCGCTGCAACTTGGCGCCGCTCTCCCGTCGATACAGATTAATATTTGATCAGTCCGACATGTCTCGTACTTGATTACAGAAATGTCACGACAAGCCCTTGATTCCGACTGCCGAATTCGAAATAGAATTTAATCGATGTTAGGATTTGGAAGGCTTTGCCGCCAAGATCGATGAACCAACCTAGCGAAGCGTTTAAATATTCCATCGCTGTAAATACATCACGATCTAACAATAAGTAGCCTAAATGTGTAAAGGTGCGTTGAAACAGTCAGCAAGAAAATACGTAAGACTGTATAAAGTAGAACTGTAAATGGAACTGTAAAACAGAACTGTGAGGTAAAACTAAAAAGAAGTGGAACCATAAAAATTTGAAGAAAGAATTTACGAAACTGTAACCAAACGGACAACCGCGGATGGGTCGTCGAACTGTAAATGGAAATAGAACTTTAAAAATTATATTCATAAAGGTGTAGAGATTTATCTGTGCAGTTGAGAGCCGCGACGTGTTAACGAGCAAGTTCCTTTGACCTGGAATTAAAAATATCCTAAGGTTGAGCAAAATGCGCATACAATTTCGCCGAAAGACGAACAAGCGCGTTTACGACGTGTATACTTAACTCAGTCGTGCAATTCGGTCCAATTAAGAGCCCCAGCTCTGAGCTGAACGTTTCGGGATTCTTTCCATAACGGTCGTTAGCGCTTTATTAACTCACCTCATTATTATTTTGCCCTCTACCATTAAGATTACGTAATGAAAGTAGGAGGGTTAATCACGAAGGGCAAACACTATCGACATAATACAATCTGCATACATTAAGACCGATAATAATAACTGGAAATTACACGCGGGAAAGATACAGCGAAGGTATTTCCCAAGAATAAACTCTCTCGAGACGGTTTCGTAATCTCGGGCACGGTTTCGTCGGGATTGTGAATTTCGCCGGTGAAGGTTTATTCGTATCATCGCGCGGCGAACATTCGTTTAATCAGCTCGACCGTTCTACGTAATTGCCGAAGCATGTAAAGCCCGTCCGTGAACCGTTTTCCGTGGCCGGACGACGAGAGATCGCGGGGTACGAAACGGCTACTTCGGAATAACAGTATCGTTAGAATCTCAAGAGGCGCTTTAAAAAACTCACCGGTCGTGTACATCGCTACTCCTTTGAGCGTGACCGGCTCCAGAACAACGGGATCGCTCCGGCCCTTCGCGTTGACGGCGTAAAGATGAAGCCTGTAATTCCGTCCCGGCTCTAAGCCGGAGACTTCGAAAACTGGGCCGGATGAGCCGGATCGGTCGGTGTGGTTCAGGTAGATGGTATTGACATGATAAACGTTCTCCTCGCTGTAGACCTCTAGCTCGTAATTAGTCAAGGGCAAACCACCATCGAATCCCTCGGAGCATCTGACGATCAGCGAGTCCGAGTCCCTCGAGTCGGTGGCTTTAAAGTCTTCGTGACCTGTTTCACACGGACGCACACATATCGGGGCGGTTAAGCTCCCTCCCGGAGGAAGAAAAACACTCGGACTCGCTAGACCTAATTGCTTCCCGGCGCGAGCGTCATCGCGGCAGAGCACACTCGATAGCGTCGATTACGGGGGGGGGGGGGGAGGCCAGACCGAATTAATTGGATAATAGTCTCAGCTAGACTTGCATAATAAGTATACAGTATATATACCGGGAGACTGTAATTGGCGCGCAGTGCAGATCGAAAATTACTATAACTATAAATCCTCAATCGCGATCATAAATCTGGACGAATGTGAAAGCCGACTTTTAAAATGAATTATGCAGCGAGCGCTGCATTATTTGCCAGAAACCGAATCTTCGTTGAATCAAAATGAGAACAAATAAAATATCTTTCCGCTTTTTATTCATCTTACCCGGAGAAATTAAAGGGGTAGTAAAACGTTCTTTAAACGTTTAAATAACGATTGTGCCGTGAAGCCTCGCGTCAATTATCTATTATCGAATTACGGGGGAAAAAGATGATCCCATTCTCGAGCATTGATGATCGATAAAAACTAATTTCACGGGCGTTTTCACGGTTATCGTGTCTTTCGAGGGGAAACAAGGAAACAAGCTGTTGAGCGCAACAAGGGCATCGACCGTAAGGTGTCAGCCACGATGATGGCCGGGTGTAATGGCGCAGTTAGCAGGTCGTTGCGAGGGTTCCCTGGGAACCCTCCTCGCTTACCCATTCGGTACGCGTAGGGTCCGGTCGACTGGAGGGCCGTACAGTTCTGCAAGGGGTAGGGCTTCCCGGCGACGATGATCTGAAAGAGACAGGGCGTCCTCTGCATCCCTATCCGATTCCTCGCCCAGCAGGCGACCGTGCCGTAATCCATGTCGTTCTCCGGCGTGTAATTCAGTCTGGAGCCGTGCCAGTGGCTCGTGATCAGGCTGAGCGGTTTGACCTGCGCGTACTTGGCGGCCGGCACGCTCATCAGCTCCCCGGAGTTGTTGAACGTCCAGTGGAAGGTCGTGGGCGGCGGTTTCGACTGTACACCGCAGACCAGCGAGATCGTTTCGTGCTTCAAGGCGCCGACCACTTGGGTGGAAGAGCCGTCCTTGCAAATCGGTGCGTCTGAAAATACGAGGGCGCCGGCTGGTGGATTCAATTTACCGCGGTGCACGCTCCCGCGCTCGTGAACCGTCACGGTGGGAAAAATAAGGGCCGACCGTGAGCCGCGGCGGCGGTTTTCGATTTCCATTCCTCACGACGGACGTCGATAATTGACGCTTCTATGTAAACGCGGGATTTACCAGCGCCGACTCAATGTTGCGACAGAAAAGTGAATGTATTAATAAAATTAGAATAACGACATTGTTATACCGGGAGGGCCCGAGAGATGATGAATGAAAAACACTTGGGCTGAATTTCTCGGCATCAGTCACGGGGATCGATCCGAGGGAAGGGAATGTACTCACACATTACTTCGAGGGTTACCGGTCGACTCACGGATTTCCCTTCGACGTTAGCCGCCATGCAAGAATATTCCCCGGCGGAGCTTTTCGTCACGCTCTGCAATACCAGGGATTGCCCACCGGGAAGAATAATCCCCGCGGTGGCGTTCTGATGCAATTCTTTGCCGTCTTTGAACCAAAGTAGCTTGTAAGACTTTGGATTGGCTTGTACGTCGCACTCAAAGTAGACGTCGTCGCCCTCGTTTATATCGTTCGCCCTCAAACTGGAGCCCAGCTTGATGCTCACCACCGGCGCGTCTGAAAGTATCGGCGGCGAAAAACATCTCTCATTTATTTCTTATAATTTCGTGCGCGAGCGTAATTAGAAAATTCTCGTTGAAAGGAGAATGTTGGCAAGAGAAACGAAACACGAAAATCGGGAGATTTCAAATAATAATTCTAAATTGAATTTTCGGCCGATAAAGGTTCTACGATTCAAAGTAAGGATAGGCCACGGGAAAAGGAATATGTTAATAACTTACAGTACACCAATAAATGCCACTTGTCCTCCAAGCCACTGTTGGGCACCAGGGAATTTTCCACCCTGCACGTTAGAAATTTCCCATCGTCCTCGATGGTCGGCACGTAGCTCAGCACACTTCTCGTGATGTTCGGATTGTCTGCGAACTACGAAGAACTCAGAATCCACGCCATCGCGACGTAATAGCGACGTCCTCTACGTCGAATACGATAACCGTCCGGTCGCGGAAAATATACTCACAGTTCTAGCCATGTGATGGACCTGATGGGCCCCTTTGTACCAGGTGAACACCGCTGCCGGCTTCGAACCCGACGTTTCACACTCGATCTCGTAAGTTCTTAATGCCGATAAATGAAATCGCTTATTCGTGATGTTGACCACGAGCGGCTTCACTGCGATGAAAAATTATGCGCGATGAACTCGGTGTAAAATAATCCATCGTGATATTTGTATTTTCCACTCGGCGTTACGCGTCATCAATTTATTAATTTTAATACTAAGCCTCGGATGAAATTAATGCAGCGAGAGATAATTTCATTGAAAGTAAATACAACAATTATATACGCAATATATTTTTCAACTCCTTTCCAACTGAGTCCGACACAAGAAACAAAAACGACGGGGAAAAGACGAGAGGCAAGAATGTTGTTAATATAAAAATTTATCACCCGCAATTTATTTCTAAAAATTTCTAATATTTCCAATCAATATGGATGCCGAAATATCTCAATTACACTCACGGTTCATATCTATAATGACCTCGGAGGTCAGGGGCGTCATAAGCTGAGTATTGTTCGCCTCGCAAATTAGCCTCGCCCTCAGGAAGTCCCTGGTGATTCTCGGGATATCCAGCCGATTTATCGTTACGTCGTGCTTCTGCGTATACGTATCGTCCAGGACTTTGTTATTGAAATACCACGTGACCCTAGGTGGAGGTAAACCTCCGATCACCTCGCACAACAGGAACAGCTCGCTTCCCTCGGCAAACGTTTGCAGTATTTGAGCCAAAGTCCTTTTAGTGTTGATATATATCACCGGCTTTTTCGGCGGCACTGTCAGCAAATTGAATTCCGATCATAGAAATTTATTTCCGTGACATCGGCACGCGCCACGTGTCCGTTATATCGAATTACGTGCGCCATTTCCTTTGTCATCATTCCCTAATAAGAGATCGATTCCGTAAATCCATACCGACACCCGATCGCCACACCGCGATATAACAATAATGATTTAAACTATTTGAATACCTCTCGATAGGGAAATCGAAATCGAATCGAACGCGTTAAAATATCTGAATCCGCATAGACCGGGCAATGCTATCAAATTTCCGTATCGGGAAATGAGAAATGCCCGCAGAGAGGATAGCGGCCGCGAAATGAGAATTAAGACGTAACGGTCAGGTCTTTGGTTCCCTTTTTTTTCCTCTGTAAGAGTACGTTGGCGACCTCGGATGAGATTAGCACCTGTTGAGTCCGTACTATGACGTCGAATTAATTGATTCAGAATCGTATTGCTGAAACAGCAACGACTTTATAACTAAACGCGCCAGACCGCAGTGATCCGGCGGTTCGTTCTTGCATCTCGCTGGAATTGATCCAACCGACTTCGTAACTTGATTTCGTCTCGCAGCTTTATTTCCACATGACTGTCCGATACTCTCGCTGCGCGCGGAAGGTCGAGGTTGAACGAATCAAACTATCTCTTCGATTTACTACTGTTTTCCACGGTTACGCACCGCCCGCGTAAATCTCACCAACGGGTATAATACAAAACGAATAAATCACGAATGAATGGAGAGATAGCTGCCCATATGCGCCGCCTGATTAAAACCCCATAAAGCACGATCTGTCCGCCAACGTCACTCGATAAGCCACAAAATTTGCGTCATAAAACGCCGCATTCCGTCGTAATAGCAGATAATTGAAATAATAATGGAAAATTAATCCTAAGAGAGCCTTCGGGATCAGTCGAGATTATATATTTCGAGATTACTTATCGTTTAGTTTATTTCTGAAATTTTTAAGTGTACCCTTTCAGTTTGTGCGGGCTACGTTTTATACCAGAATTTTCCAGAAGAATGACAGATGTGAATACTGCCTCGTACTGTATTCGTGCACAGCATTCATTATTACAATCGTTGCGTATATTACAATGCGTCAGTTAACTGTAATCATTATTCTCAGTTTTTGTATTTTTTATATATTCTAACCTTTTTACTAAATTACACGTTTCCATAATTCCAAATTATATATAAAATTATACGTATTTCAAGAATTTTTTATTTGCATGAAGAAAGTGTCGCTGTGAAAATTGTATTCCTTACTCTCCATTAATTTCCGTCTATTGCAAACGGGAACATTCTAAGATAATTTTTATAATTCGGCAAAGTAGTTCGAGCTTTCTTCTTAATTGCTCTACAAATACCATGAATTCAATTCGGATCTAATAGGAACATGAAACAATCAAATTCCGTTGAAAGACTGAACTTACGATAATTGAAATTCGACAGAGGTGCTTTCAGAGTGTTTTAACCGTAATAGCAATTATCACTTTTACAAAGTTACGCACGCGGAAAATAGAGATTCCCAGTTTTCGTTGAGACTCACCTATGACCGTAAGATTAATCTTCTGATTCTTCGTGGGGCTATTTTTAAAATCCACTCTGCATCTGTATACGCCACCGTCCGTGGACTCCAAAGGATCTATCTCCAGCTTGGCGGGCTTTCCGTCCGTCCTCATAACCGCCCTTTCACCGAACACATACGGATCCGACCAAAGCCTCGCCTGCGCTACCTTCCTCCCCCGTACATCCATGCGGTATATCGGCTCGCTGTCCTTTTCATCTTTGTACCAAAATACCATGATGACCGTCTCGTCTTTAATCGGCGGATCGATGTCGCAGGGTATCCGAGCTTTGAAACCGGCCACAGCGCTAACGTCTGATATAGGCACTGAAAAGTACGGGGAAGCGACAGAGTTATCCTTACGAAAGGATATGGTCCTTCATATTCGTATTATATAATATTTTATTCTAAATGTATTGCGAAAAAATATCACCTCAGCCAGGGTTATTATTAACTACTTAATTAACTATTTAATTGAAATTTGCGCTGACGAAAGCACTGCGTGCTGAAACGCGTCCGCTATCTTACGTTTCAATGTTAACAACTTTGATTTAAATATCTATTACATTGCCAACTTTTATGCTCGTAAAAATTGGCCTCCTTTGTTTACTTGTTGTTGTTTAGCGATAAGCTTCCCGCGGGTCTTTTGCGACATCATAATTCGATTAAATCTTTCTTTGGGGCTAATCTCATTACGTTAAGTCTGCGAACTACTCTTTTCGATTTCGTTTCATTAACAAATCGAGCATTATCTCCGATGAACTCAGACGCATTATCGCGGACATTTTCAGCACAGTTGTGCAATTGCAACGCGTCGCAGACACCGCACGTGCGACGTGACAGAATTCTCCTGCGGGAAGTATTCGCGCATTCTCGGACAAGTGCCTCGGAAGTGCCTCGTTGCGTTTCCGCGGCCATGTTAACGGGTCCGGTAACAATGCGTTGTCCGCAACAGCGCGTTTTCTCACTGCGACCGCAAATTTGGAGTTTTAGTCAGTCACCGTCGGCGCCGATCGAATTACTGCAAATTGGTCGAACGTCCCCGGGCCAAGCAAACTCCGGATCCGTACACCGGGGAGACGGAAAGCGTGTATGTACGCGCGCGCGTGTGGTCGTGCGTAGAAACAAAACGCAGGGGCGCGCGTTTGCCGAGCGGAGGCCGCACGATCGGGTAAACCCAATTAATCGGTCTACTTGCCGATTTATAACGGCGCGCCAACCGTCGGGCGCGATTTTTATTGGCTTTCATAGCTGTCCCATCCATCGTCCTGGGCGTCTAACGCCCGGCCGACCGACCGCGGCGGTCTCATTATCTTTTCCCTCGTTGACCTTAGATGTAACGGGCAGGGGGTTACCTTCGAAACGTTGGGCATCCGCCACCGCCGCCGGAGATTAATTGAGCGCGAACGCGGCTGACGTGTATCGGCTTTTTCCACTGCGAGACTCGGGCGCGACGCGCGAAGAAAAACGCGGCTCGGGATGGCCGGCACATAATCTACAGTTTTTTCCTCAGGGTGTTAAATCTGATTTGGTGACCGCGGAGAGGAGCGGTTTTAGAAAAGAATCCCGGTTATTCGATCCGATAATTATTTGACTCGATTGTACGCATCTGATTATATCGCTGGGGAGATTAATTTTTTAACGTTCGACGATTCCCGTCGAATGCAAATATTCGCTCAAGTTAGTTTGATTACTCTTTAATAAGATCCTTAAATTTACTCCTCGATGAATCCTTAATTATAATCCCTATTTCAATATCAATAGAGAGCTGGACCGATGATTCTCTCGCGTAACGACGACCAGAATCTTTCTTGCGCGAAGTTAGACTCCCAATACTGAGGAATATAAAGTCCTGGGCTTGGGCGAGTTAAAATATTTAGAAGCCGTGTCGAGACCGCGATGTCAACGGTCAGACACTATGAACATAATCGATCGCGAACGTGCCAATTAAATGTCACGAAAGGCGGGATCGTTAATGCCGTAATTAAAATGTTTTCTTTCAACAAATGTTTGTCCATCGTTCGCCCACGAATGCCCCGTTGGAGTTTTTGTTTGTCCCCCTCTAGTTCACAAGTTACAGACAATCAATTACGAGGGGACCGACTCCATACTGAACCCTAATATTAAAAATCCGGGGCTTTCTTTCTGCAAACGTTCGCCCGCGAATGCCCCGTTGGTGTTTTTGTTTGTTCCCCTTCACAAGTTACAGACAAATCAATTTCGAGGGGACCAACGCTATACCGAACCCTATTAAAAATCCAAGATTTCCTTTTTCCAAACGTTCGCCCGCGAATGTCCCGTTGGAGTTTTCGTTTGTCCCCGCTCAGCTCTCGAAAGTTATAGGAAAACCAATTTCGAAAAGGGGACCAACTTCACACTCGCCTTAATGTTAGAAAATCAACAATTTTCTTTTCACAAACGTTTGTCCATGTGTCTGTAGAACCAGAGAGAAACCTGAGCAGCCACGCCGGCGTTTTACTTGTTACCGTTTCAGGAGACTGTTTTCCGCGCCCTTACGCCCATTTTTACTTTTGAAACTACTTTGCTATGCATCTTCTGACACTGCCGATAAAGTCTCCACTTCGTGCGTGTCCACGCTACGCCTGTTTTTCAGGATTGTGCTGTAAATTTCAAAATTACATTGACATAAATTATCTGCACGGTGTTTACGTCAGCTGTTTTCATGTAGTCAATGTAAATTTTATAAATTAGATGTCAGAATGCGTAGCGCAGACATGCGACGAGTGGAAATTCAATCGGCAGAGTCAGACAATGCGTAATGAAATAGTTTCAAAAGTAAAACTGAGCGTAAGGACGCGCAAACTCCCGCACGGTCTCCTGAAACGGTATCAAGTAAAACGCCGGCGTGGCCGCTCTCGGGTTTCTCTCTGGCAGAATTAACCGGTGGCGGACGAATATTCCAACGGGGGCATTCGATGGGCAAACGTTTGCAATAGGAACACTTCGGATTTTTCAATATCGGGGAGAGGGCTAACTCGGCACGGGTGATCGCGCGCGCACAAATTCCGCGTCGACGCGAGCTCTGAGATTCATCGCGGACGAGGGCGGCGTTAATGACACGATGTAATTAACGCCAGGTGATGAATGGCCGCACGCACGAAGTAACTCGTTAACAAACGGCAACGAGGCACGTGGCCCCGCTTTCGCACCTTTGCGCTCCATTGATACGTGGCACTGAATATTCACACGTTGACGCGTTTGCATATCCGTGCGTCACCGAAGTTATGCCCCGCGTGAAAATTGCGCGCGATAGCGATTGCGTTATCGGCGGTAGAATGCGTCACGTAAACATTTACGGGGGGCGGCGAGCCAGGGCACGTGACGGTGACGTCGCGCGAAACGTTGTAATCTCCGCGGCTGAGCGCAAAGGGCGGATTTTTGTAAAGAATTATTTGAAAAGCGCGGCGGCCGGCAAGTCGCGGCATTTAAAAACCGCGGTCCGAGACCGCGCAATGTCTGACGTTAACGGGCAGACATTACGAGCGTATAATCGGTCGCGAACGTGCCGATTAAATGTCACGAAAGGCGGAAGGGGGTCGTTAATGCCGCAATTAAAATGTTAATAGCGCCGGGGCGAGTCCTATTACCTCGTTAAATCCCCTCATGAACCCCGCAAATTGATGACTTAGACAATGAACCATCGACAGACTCCGGCGCACGCAGGCGCGCTTACGTATTCTGCGTGCGTGCACGCGTGCACGTACGTGCGGCCTTGTCCACCGTGCGTGTGCGGCTGCTGTGCTTTCGCACGCGCCGCCTGTATCGCGTTTACTTGAGAGCGTGGCGAATATCCGTTTCTCGGGTAACGCGGGACGCATACGTATCCGCCGACACGACGATCCTGGAGTAATTATTCAAAGCAAACACGGAACGCCGCCGTGGATCGGTAATACATCGCATTACCCCGCGTGTATACACGCGCGCACGGATTTAAACCCGCCGTACGATGGGGAAGAGCAGATGCGAAGTAGCCCATTGATTGTTGGCATATTGATTGGTGGATCGCGCACGAATTTATTCACGTCGCTCCGTTAACGGGGACATAAATTCGGCGATCGTTGACATCCCGATGCGCGTCCACTATCGCGCTCTCTCCGGCGCAGTTGTTAAAAAAAAAAAACCATATTCCAATTCGGACTCTAACGTATAATTTATTATTATTTATTTTCGGCGCAATTTATTGACGCGGCGATCGAAGCGCAACGAATCGCAGCAGCGGAGTGATATTTTATTATTTTTATTGAATATTTTATCCCGATCTACTTTATGAGCCCGAAGGCGCATCATGATACCGAGGTTGCCGTCGACTATTTTCTAATACGGGAAAATTGAATTTGCGCCGCAGCCGTTCGCCAGCTTGGAAGTGCGAGCCTTGTAATTTGATCAAAGCACCGCGCTGTAAACATCGCGGGTGGGCAAACGCGTGGATGCGACTTGTTTTCTGTAAATTCAGGCATCGCCGGCGAACCGGCGAGCTCCAGCCAAACATACGGAAGGTAGAAGCCAGCGCATCCGGGAAGCAATAAAAAGAAGATAGGTGGATAGCGATTGAAGGACGAACTGGCGCGCGAGTCGCGCGCGGAAATTGTATTTCGCATATTTTCACATATATCGCGCTGAATGTGGGGAAAACGGAATGGAATTTCCGGGTGTACGTACTTCTTAAACGATATTCGCCGCCGTTAAAAGTCGAACGTGCGTCTTAACACTAGACTGCCAAGCTGATTTCGGCATTGAGTTCCGGGAGACCCGGGAAGTCAAGGGGTGCGTTGCTTATTGTGAAATGTCGGAAAACGATGTAAATCATCGGAGAAATAAGTGAATAAGTAAATATTAAGTAATAAATATTAACAATTACGTATATATTAGAAGAATTAAAGTGGAATAAACGAAACCGTTGCAATTAAACCGGAAATGACGGATCCTTTTGTAATTGAAAAAGACATAAATCAAAAGTTTGTTATCGAATCTAGTGCTATCAATATTATATTTTTTGTGTGTTTTAATCAATGCTTTAATCAATGCAATAAAGTTATACTTAACCAGACAAATGAAACCGTCACTCACGGACGGAGTGACGGGGTCCTTTTGAAAATTCATCCAGATATGAGTGGCACGGCAGTGAAATGCGATAAGGGACGCGAATTATCAAGCTAAAACTATTAATCTTCGGACCAACAATCGCGCCATTGCGTTATTCTCTCGAATTCGCGAAGGACGAATGGCCGGCGCTTTCGCGCACGAGCGCCGCGCCGTCGTGCAAATACGCGGCGCAACTTTCTTGCCAAGGTAAAGAATGTACTGGG